AAGATTCCCTGTGCTTGCCATCAGGCCCAATTATATTTAATTTTATGTTTCAACACTATATTTTACACAGATTTATCCTAGTTCATGACCTGTTATTGTAGACTAATTATTATTATTAAAGAAACAAAATGTTGTGGCGGTGTAGGAATATCCACTTCCCCATAACATCCCGTGAGTGTCGTAAGAGGTGACAGAGGGAAATAAATCAGGAGATGGGTACCAGCGTCTACTAATAACGACTAGAAACTACTAATTAAAAAAATGTCGTTGCCTAATCGCTTACCGTCTCGTTTACTTTTAGTGACATCTATGAGAAATATCACCCTTATTACACTATCTAAAGTTGTTCAAAAGTGAACTTAGATGAGCTCTAATGAATGAATTAAGTAATTAATGAATTTAATATTTAATACCGAGCTAAATCCAAATCAGGCGTGCGAATAGTATGTGACAACCAATTTCATGAATACGGTCGCACCAATTTATTGTATACAAGCTGTTCCCCGTGACTTCGTCCACGTGGAATTTATTCTTTTTCAAAAATAAAAGTCTTAGTTGAATAGCCTAAGTTACTCCCCATAATATCAGCTATCTGTCAGTGAAAGTCCCGGCTAAATCGGTCCAGCCGTTTTGGAGATTACCTGGAACAAACATACAGACAGACAGGCAGACGAACATTAATTTTTTTTGTTATAAGTACCATATAAACTATCATATGCATTTAGTTAAAAGCTGTAATTTTGACATTACAAACAGACAATTCAGTTTTATTTATTTGTATAGATCCTACGAAGTTTGAATCAACTCGAAAAATCCATGAAGTAGGAGATTAATTAGTCACCCACTTCATTTCGTGATTCTCATACGGGAATGCCTTGAGGCATTTAATACGTTCCGTACCATGACTTTTTTATAGGATAAAGTGACAAACAAGCACACAGTCCACCTGATGGTAAGTGTTTGCTGTGGCCCATAGACATCTACATCTATCTTCGATTAAGAATCAAAATGCAGATGCGTTGTCACCCGTGAGGACTAAGATGGAATGCGTCGTTTCCAGCAAAAAGGGTTCTCTACACTCAGCGTAAAATAGTAGCTTAAAACACAGCAGTATTAAGCTACTATTTTACGCTGGTATTATGTGTCTTACCGTAGTTTGGCTCTATCAAGGATTTTCTAAAGCGAATTAAACATTTTTGACAAGAGTTTGAATCTAATCGCAACTCATAGAGTTCACGCATTTATTTCTACCGATGTGGACCTTGGGTGTTGTGTGGGTACACATATCTTGTCCAAAACATCTTAGTCAAAATATCGGCTTACATGTCTGATCATACTACCAATTTTATAACCTTGCACCCAAACCGTCCTCTAATCGTTCACAGAATATATTTTATTCTGTATTTAATCATAATAGTAAATCTTTTTTCTTGTTATATTATATTGAGTTAAGTTGATTAACTCCTTTAATATGCTCTATGTAAATCTGTATTGGGAACGGAAAGTACACGGGATCGTAAGTAGAAGGTTAATAAGTAAAGAATATTTAATTGGAAATAAAATAATTAAGAACGTTTTATAACATTAGAGTGGCAAACGAGCCTTAATAAACATGCTTGGCAAGTGGATCAGGTATCACAGATCCAGTTTGATATGTGGTGGAGGTGGAGCTATGCTGCAGCTATATTATGGTTTTAGCACGAATGAGTTGACTCGTCCGGTTAAGAACCACGTTCTTACAGAATACCAGCAAATAATAACAGCTTTATGTCTCGTATGGTGAATGTAGATAACTGGAGATAATTTTTACTGGAAACGAGGTATTCTATATTAGATCGCAAGGGTGACAACGAATCTGTATTTTGATTCTTAATCGAGAATAAATCTAAATGCCTATGCATCCATCGCATCCACTTACCACAGGTAGACCGTATACTCGTTCGTCACTCTTATTCTATATAAAAAAGTCGTCTTCCAACTTTGAGGCTGATCACCGTCGCCTGTCTAGATATTTTACGTATGGCATAATAAATACGGTTATAACGCCATCTTTCGGAAACCATCAGAACTTTTTAACGCCCACGGGACGAAATGGAGTAATGAATTCTCTTACGTCGCAATCACTGTTTTTTTACTTTTAAAAAGTGTTTTATAGGCAATTCGACATAAAACTACTTTGTGTGGGACTTTGTTCTTATAAAGTATTGACTTTCATTACTCTAATAATTTATTATATTTACGCGAACACTACACATTGATTAAAACTACTTTTACGGATTTTATCGCGTTTATTTGATCTTAATCCGCAACTTTTCGGGTGCTGGAAAGCACCAGAAACGCCAATTAAAAATTAAATAAATTAAACGCGATAAAATCCGTAAAAGTAGTTTTAATCAATTTATGGCGATGCTCACCTGGAACACGTCTTTCGTGCGCAGCTTAAAGATCGTGTGCAGCGCATCAACGAAAACCTGCAGCAGTGGGCTCTAGAAGTGGAGAAGCTGGTGCGAAAAGCATACCGGTCTGTACCTGCGCTCATTGAAGGGAACCTGGTGCAGACATTCATCGACGGCATCCGCGACCTGGAAGTCAGAGCTGCTGTGAGGCTCGGGCACCTTAAGGACGCCTTGGCCCATGCACTGGAAGTGGAAGCCGTGTGGCAGGATCATCATTCCCATCGCGTCAGGGAGGTCGTCTGTCTGTAATTATATGATAAAAATATCAGTGTTAGCTGATATTTTTATCATATAATTTACGTGTTGCAACGATATCTAACTGGTAAGTTGCCCAGAGTGCTGCAGACACCAGAAGTGTTCAACAGCACACTTTTGTGTCAGGTTTCCGGGTCTGACCGATTTGAGATTGCGTAAGAAAACCTGGGTGTCTACAAATCTGGGTGGTGTAAAAAATTAAGAATGTTGTGAGGATATGATGTTATATTCGCTATTAATAATGCTCATTGGCGTAGAATAAAAAATTATGTTTATGCTCATCGAGACGTATTTACAACAATCAAATTACCAAATAACACTTTATTTACTTTACACAAATTAAAACTTAAAACACTAAAATTAAACACACAACTATTCCCCCGAATACAAAGCCCCCCCGGCGCTGCATTCATGCAACAATATTATAGACTACCTTTATTTATTCATTATATTCTATCAAAGTCCACTGCTGAATATATGGCTTCCTATAGATTGCCTCATGAAGAATTGCCAAGCTTGGCAGGCAGGTTGCCAAACGCTGTTTTTTATTTTATTTTCTAGCCGTTATCAGGAAGACGCTACTACCTATCTTCTAATTTGTTTCTCTTTGTCACCTCATCCACACTAGTACCGTGGTCACGAGTAAGCAGCGGCGATATGCTCATGTTTGGCCGGCCCACGCGCAATTTTATTGCACGGTATTTATTTGATATTTCTTTTAAAAATGAAATATACTCTTTTATTTGAAAATAAACCCATAATTCCCCCATGTATTTACCGATGAATACATAAACAGAATTTAATTTAAATTGTTTTAATTACATTCGAATGAAACTGATTTTTTCCTTAATGGACATTCCTGAAGTTATAGACTTTGAGGAAACTTTGCGATCTTTTTGTATCGAGTCAAAATGTGTCAATCGTGTCTTGGTCATAAGATTTTTTAGTGAATTATTATTCACTAAAAAAATCTTAGTCTTACGCCGCCTACCAAACGGTAAATATAAGAATAATGATTTGAAACAATAAATTTGACAATTTTTTCAGCAATTTATGCGCCGCTTTAAATTTCTTTTGGTACAATAATTTTATTGGTGTCTATGAAAGCGAATCGTAAAGCATATATTTTTTATAGGTTGAACTATTTTATTGACATTTAGGAGATTTATAGATAGTTTATAAGAAATTATTATAGTAAAAATTGAGTAACAAGAATATGGGTTGTTCTTCTTTTTAACCTACAATAATGCGTCTTCACTAGTCGACCAAAACAAAAGCTTAGAGAATTCCTTCACCATTTAATTTTTTTTATTTCAACATGCATTGTACTTATGACATAAGCGGTTGAACATATTTTATAAAGTGTGCAATTATATTTTTGTGGTTACATTTACGTTACAGAGTTGTAACTCCCAGTGACAGAGTTGTATTTCATACATATTCGAGTTGTCTCCCATCGCCCCGACTTGCGCATTTTCCAGAATATTACAAAAAAAATTATATGACAACATAATATATAAAACTATTTTTTTATCCTAAAAGATATAATCTTCCAATGTGTAGTATTTATTTTTAATGGAAATTTATAACAAATAGCATAAAAAATCTCAAAAACTTGTCTCTTACTACAAATGTTTTAGTACGTCAATTCTGTCACGTGGGTTATAAATTCGAAACGAGTGTCCGCGCTGCTCGTCTTCGGTGTTGTTGATCGGAAATTAAGGCCTCCCGATCCCCCGCTACGATTTCCCCTATAGCATCCACGGGACCGCGGGCTAGTCGCCCGTTAGCTGTGGAGGGAGGTGCGTGTGTTTATTCGGCTACTCTTTCGTCACGTAAGTAATCGTAATAAAATACGGCAATTATAATTATTTTACATTATCCACTCTTACGTAATGAGAAATACTTTCATGCGAACATGTTCACCATACATTTTATGTTAATATTAAGATATTATCGAGTGTGCAACGAAATTTTACCCCTCTGTCACATAACTTTTGTGACGGAGTGGTAAAATATGTGACGGAGTGGTAACAAAAAATATTTTCGGTTATTTTTTTTATTTTGAATGTATTTTATTTGAATTTTGAGTGTGTGTCAGCGTTAAATAGGGATAGGAAATTATATTCTATCTTTTTATTTTTAGCATGAAGACAAAAAAAGCCATTATCAGCAGCAGAAAGACAGCGACGTTGTCGGGAGAAACGAAAATGTGACCCAGAAAAGGTAGCAGAAGTAAAACGCAAGGATTTAGAAAGGTACCACGCTCGAAAAAAGTTGGTGGCAGATATGAACGCGAGAGAACATCGAATTATGAAGCGAAAATGGCAACAGGCAAATAAAAAAAGAAGAGAGAAGAAACAGATGCTTGAAAATGTACTGTTGGACACGCCGGCTCTGTCGCCGATACCGGAAAACCCACAAATAAGACCCCATTCTGCGACACCCACTCTATCGGAAGCGTCTAGTGCAAGGGGAAGAAAGAAAGTGAAAAGAGATAGATCAAAGATGTACAGAGATAATATTAAATTACAAGAAAAAATAGAACAGCTGGAGAAAAGAATCCGTAAATATAAAAAAAGATTACAACGAAAATCAAAAAGAGACGGCAAAGTGGAACATAATAGCAACGATGAAAATAAATATAAAGTCCTTTCTAATGCCATCAAAGAACGCTATAAAACTGTCAAAAATCGTAAAGAAAAACGCCTCATACATTCTATTCTTCAAACTCCCATTACAAAAAAAATCCAGAATGCAAACGCAGTTGGTAAGAGATGCTTTGGGCGTAGATCGCCCTCTAAAATACAAGTCCGTTCTACCAAAACAGACTAATCTCGTACGAAAAATACATCAGTTCTTTTTGCGGGATGATGTAACGAGAGCTACAGCTGGAAAGAAGGAGACCGTAACGCACAAAAAACAAAAAGTTCAGAAGAGATTTCTATTGGACTCAATGCGAAACTTGTACAAAGCTTTTTTAAAAGAAAACAGTGGCATTAAGTGTCACTACAGCTACTTTGCCAAACATAGACCATTTTTTGTGAAAGCACCTGCTGTAGATGGAAGGGATACTTGCTTATGTAAGTTGCATGCAAATATAAGCTATGTTGTGAATAGTCTACATTACAATAAAGTTATTATGCAAAAAGACACTAATGCGATCTTGGAGACACTAGTTTGTACAGTTGATTCGGAATCTTGTATGAAAGGTGTTTGTTCGAAGTGTAAGACCCGGGGCATAGTTTATGAAAAAAATAACCGAGAAAGAATTGTGCCACTACGTCAGTGGGTAAGGAAAAGCGAAGTTGTAGAAAAGGGAGGAAAAAAGATAAAGATTTCAAAAAATGTCCCTGTTACCGAAAATCACACTATTCAAGAAGTTATTAAAAAATTTGAAAATGAACTCATGAATTTCAGAACTCATGTCTACAACATCCGACATCAATACAAAGCATACCGACAGTGTATCTATGGTCTTACTGGAACTGAAGTAGCTTTACATATAGATTTTAGTGAGAATTATGCGTGTAAGTACCATTCTGAAGTTCAGTCTCACCATTTTGGTTCTCGTAATCAAGTTACCCTCCATACGGCCGTGATGTACAATTATTCTACTGAAACACAATCAATAGAAGTAACTTCATACTGTACAGTTTCTTCTAATCAGAACCATGGACCTTCTGCGATCTGGGCTCACCTGCACCCAATTCTTTCTGAAGTAAAAAATAAACATCCTGTTGTAACAACGGTTCACTTTTTTTCTGATGGACCTGCGACCCAGTATAAGGAGAAGATTAATTTCTACCTAATGGCAAATAGGTTTTTCGAAAATTACGAGTTTCGTAAAATATCTTGGAACTTTTTTGAGTCATGGCATGGGAAAGGAGCTGCCGATGGAGTTGGTGGAACCTTAAAACGCCAAGCTGATGCTATAGTAGCTAGAGGGGCAGATATTGCAGACGCATATGAATTTTTTTCTACACTTCAAGATGTCAGCAAAATTAAGTTGTTTATGGTGACAGACGAAGACATTGAAAACGTTGCAAAAACTATTCCCAGTAAAATTACACCCCTGAAAGGAACTATGCAAGTTCATCAGATGTTTACAGAAACTCGTGGAATATTAAACTATAGGATACTGAGTTGTTTTTGTGAACGGTTCTGTTCCTGTCACGGTCCTAAAACTTATCAGCCTACACTACCCGACACTGAAGATATAGCGAATCAGAAGTCTTCTTACGAAGAAGATGAACCTAATCTTGGAACAGAAGATTTTTCTCTTGCTGATATTACGAATAAAATTGGGATGCCTAGTAAAAGATTTTACGATATCGTGTATTATAGCCCGAGTGAATCATCTGATGAAGATCAGCCACTGGTCACATATATAACTAAGGATTCTATCAATCCACCCGTGGTATCCGGTACTTCATACCAAACACTGCAGCCTCAGGACATTCATCCAAATAAAATAGAAGACGGAGTTTACGTTTTAGTTAAAGTACGAAGCGAGAGGAATGTTCTCTACACTTACGCTGGAGTTGTTAAAAGTACCGTCGACGAAGAAGGTGATGTTCTGGTAATGTTCCTTAAAACCATCGATGATAGTGGAAGACTATTTAGATTGGTGGAGAATGACTTATCGGATGTTCCATTTGATGATTTGATTGAAATCTTACCTACTCCTAGAGTTGTTAGAAAAGGAAGAAGACAATTTTTGGAGTTCGAAAAGCCACTGCCAGTATTCGAGAAATAAGGCTGATTAAGAGACCTAATAGACTGAGTTATTATTAATGATGATTATTTTATTTTAAGTTTTTAAATTTTTATTTGGTTGTGACAAGTTGCACAAGTGCTTTTTAAGATTTTTATTTAGTTGAGACAAATTATTAGTTTTTTAATTTCCTAAAATTTGAATCTTCCATTCCAAAGATTCTGAAATGTGATTTCATTAGTTACGAATAGATATTTTTTGCCAAATATGAATACTGTTAAAGTCTTATCAGTCAATAAATATTTCAAAGTTTTAATTATTTGTTTTATTCCAAAACACAGTCTGATATTTCATAAAATTACAACTCTGTCACACACACCACCACTCTGTCACGTTTTTGTCTCCCGGAAGTAAAATTGTTTTGACTTATTATATACTTTCTCTTGCATAGTACAACCTTAGAAAAATTAAATTGATCATAACGAATGATTTTTTTCGGCTATGACGTTGATATTTCTTTGCAAGTAATAGTGAATCTTAATTTATATCAAAAATATCCATAATTTTATCTAAAAATGTGACAGAGTGGTTAATGTTCATTATTTTCATATAACCCAATCAATATGCGCAACATATTTTATATATTATTCTAAAGAGCCATTTGTTTATTTTTGAAACAAAAAAGTGCAGGTCATTTGTATCAAATTATTCAATGATATTAAATAAAAGATTTTGTGACAGAGGTGTACAAATTTACGTCAAACAAACATTTCGGGGCCAATAAATGTTTAAAAAATTTATAAACTTCGCGGCCACTACTATTTTTCGATAGACTATTAATTCAGCCATCATAAAATGTATAAGTGTCAACGAGAAAACGATATAATTTTTTTAACAAATTCGTGGCAAATTTTTTTCACTATGTCGGTTAAAAAGAAGAACAACCCATATACAGTAGTCGTTTTTCCTCATGTAATGTCATTGAAATGTTTAACTTTCATAATGATTTTAAAAAAGGTGAATTTATATTTTTTTATGACAAAAAAAATTATTTTTTTCATCTAAAGTGTCTCACGGAACGACACGGTTTAGTGAATATTCTTTCACTGCCACGACACAATATAAGTTTTTTATTTTTAAATTTTTACTTTTAACCACTGGTCTTTCCAGTCAGAATATATACTCCTTGTATACTATCGTTGTTGTTATATCAAAAGAAATATTATAAATTATGTTATGAACAAAAAAAAGTTTATTAAAGGGTCGCTCCTGTCATGTTTGCTGCCGTCACGCCCTATCACGCGTCATCGGCATTCAATTAGCCACGGGCGTCGGGACCCACAGAACCCCAATCGGGGGTCTGTCAATAAAACGTATGAGATGCCCGGCACGTAGCATTCCCGATATTAGCAACCTTACACGGCATTTAATGAAATGTTTTTTATCAGGTATAGTAAAATAAGACACTTACCATATAATATTGGTAATGTAAAAATAATCTATTGTGAAGAGTCAGAATGTGTCACAAAAAGCACGTATGGCAATTCACAATGCTATGTTGGTCCCTACTTTAACGTATGGTGGCGAAAGTTGGGTGTGGCAGAAGAAGTACGAGAGTAGAATAAACGCAGTGCGGTCGTTAAGGAGTATGTAAGGGCTGAATCTGAGTGACAGGATGAGAAAGTGTGTGATAAGAGGAGAGTGTGGTTGTGGTGCAAGACGATGTTGTGACCAGGAATAAGAAAGGAATGCTTCGGTGGTTTGGTCATGTGGAAAGAATGAGTAAGGAAAGAGTGACCAAGAAAATTTATGTTGCGGAAGTGAATGAAAGAGTCGGAAAGGGACGTCCTAGGCGAAAATTTATCAATAAAATTAGCGATTTATTGAAAACGGGCCAAATTAGGAGTACCCTTAACCGACAAACATGTATGCGTAGGTATATGGATGTGAAGGAGGCGAGAAAGGTTTGTCAGATTCGTGCCAAATGGAAGTCTGTAGTATCTGACTACCCCTCTGGGTGACAGGCGTGACTGTTTATGTAAAAATATCACTACCGTTCATTAGTATCGTTGTAACGGTGCATCTGAATACCCTTACAAATAACTATTAATCTTATTAATCTTAAATAAATACATTCTTATTTAAAAATAACAACAAATAAAATATTACATATATAATTTAAAATATTATTCTACTGAACCTTAAAATAGTTAATTTAATCAGCGCACCGTTAAACCATTGCTCACCGATCTCTAAATCGAAAGTATGTCCTCGGACAGTTCGGAGATGCGCACGAGTCCCCATTCAGGCCATTGCTTGTTCGTTTCTACCTGAGACTGCTTGAAGTTCGCAACGCGCGTGATCCTAAACGAACGACCGTTGAACTTACCTACATTCAAAATTTAAATTATTCAAAGTGCAGTTGATCCCGCTGGGGTGAGTTCTTATTTATTTTCACAATAGTATCTAAGCATTGTAACTGTTCTGCTAAATTCCTCTTCTGCTGGGGCTGTTTAGCGCTTAGGAATTTTTAACTTCCTAGAAACGGCGCTGAACTTTACTGTGGCGTGTATAGTTCTATTGGAAGTCTCCCTAATGCTGACCTCCGTCTGGAATTCCAGGATCCATAAATCCATCCACCTACCTACCTAAGCCTTGCTTGCTGCCGTGCTGTGCTAACGGACTGTTAGCCTACTATCCTGCCAACGGCCATCATCACCGTCGGACCTGGGTTATCATCGACTCCGTTTGCTAGCTGGCTGCCTGCGACCCTCAAAACTTCGCCTGAACTTCGCCTCCCTACGTAAGGCCAGTGATTCACTTCCTAAACCTAACTTGTATATGTGCGGAAATACGTTAAATAATAAAATATTTTATCATAAATATCGACTATTTTTAAGAACCCACCTATCTTCTGAACAAACTTAACGGTACATCGTTAGTGGGTGTCGTAGGAGGCGAGAGAGAGAAATAAATCAAAAGATAGTCAGTAGCGTCTCCCTCATAACAGCTATATAACTTCGGTTGCTAAAATTCCTACCAAGCGTGGCAAATTTGGCAACTGCGTCTGTGGTGGATTTAATGATGGATGTAATCTATACATATAAATGAAATTGAAGGTTATTACACATTTATTTACATAACATTAAAATACATATATACAATATTAAAAACTAAAAACTTAAACTATCATACAGTCCTACTAAATTGAGATGTATCTCTATAACATTGAAATGACTGGCTGCAAAAAACTTACTGAAATTATTCTGTGAGTTTTTTACACACAATTAAGAAATAGACATTCTTTTTTTTAAACTGTCGGTCTGTCTCTCCAGGCTAATCTTAGAAATGGTTGGACCGATTGTGATTAAACTTAAAGAAAAGAAAGAGATCAATATCAGGAAGGATCAAGGTGATATTTTATTACCATTTTCTACCGCAATATATATAATATATATATATATATATACTACACGGTGTTGATGGGAGACTTCAACGCAAAACTAGGCACAAGAGAAAGCGGTGAGCTGAGGGTGGGGAAATTTGGAGTAGGGCAACGGACCCGAAGGGGCCAGCAGCTGGCCGACTTTATGGAGAAAGAGGGACTCTTTATGATGAACTCTTTCTTCCAGAAGCGGCCCCACAGGAAGTGGACTTGTTCGAGCCCCGACGGTTCGACAAAAAATGAGATTGACTTCATTATGACGACCAGACGCCAACTCTTCAGTGATGTCTCAGTGATCGCAAGGGTGAAAACTGGCAGCGGTCACCGAATGGTTAGAGGCACACTGAACCTAAATGTTAAGTTGGAGAGGTCTCGTCTAATGAAGTCAACGCTCCGTCCCCCTCGTGCTCTAATCTAGAATCCCGAAACCTTTCAGCTCGAGTTACAAAACCGCTTTCAGTGCCTAGAGAATTGCAATGCAGTGGACGAAATGAATGACAAGCTCGTGGAAACTGTCAATGCGGTCGGAGCTAAGTTCTGTAAGACCCACCGCAGAAGAACACAAAAACTCTCCGATCACACTCTTAATCTTATGGCTGTTAGACGGGAGATGAGGCTGCAATCGTCAACAGATTTGACAGCATATACAGACAACTGAACAGACAGATCTCCAAATGCATGCGGCGAGACTTACGCAACTTTAATACTGCTCGTATTAAAGAAGCGATCGAGCAGAACCAGGGCTCCAAAGTCTTTGCCAGAGATCTGTCTGCCAGAAAGAGCCAACTGTCAAGGCTGAAGACTGAGTGTGGCAACATCGTCAGTCTGAGCGAGATTAGAATGGCTCTCCACCACCTTAAAAACGGCAAGGCCCCGGGCGAGGATGGAATTACAGCGGAGCTTCTGAAAGCTCGGGTGGAACACCGGTAATGGAAGTCCTTCAGAAGCTCTTCAATTCCGTCCTCCATGGTGGCACTACTCCGGAGGCGTGGAGCAGAAGTGGTCTTGTTCTTTAAGAAAGGCGACAACGCTCTCTTGAAGAACTACAGACGGATTTCCCTCCTGAGCCGCGTCTACGTGCTGTTTTCGAGAGTCATTACGAATCGTCTCGCACGCAGACTCGACGACTTCCAGCCTCCCGAACAAGCCGGTTTCCGAAAAGGCTTCAGTACCATAGACCACATACATACTCTTCGGCAAATTGTACAGAAGTCCGAAGAGTACAGTCTGCCACTTTGCCTGGCGTATGTGGACTATGAGAAAGCCTTTGATTCCGTCGAAATTTGGGCGGTGCTACAGTCTCTTCAGCGGTGCCTAGTTGACTGTCGGTATATTGAAGTGCTGAAGTGTTTGTACAGTAGGGCTACGATGGCTATCCAAGTACAGAACCGGAGTTCGAAAACTATCCAACAGCAGAGAGTGTAACGTTGCACGTACATGTATGCATAATTATAATTAAACGGTTTATTAAAATTAAATAAACATTTAATAAACTAAATAAAAATAAAATAAAAGTTATTAACAAAAATAATTCTATAATTAACTTAGGTATCCTATTAATAAAACAAATCAGTAAACTAAAAGAACGAATTAAATA